TGAAATTATTATTCCAAAACAATTTCTGCAAGTTGTTTGATGGTTTTATCATAATCTATCATGTGGAAATAGCAATTTTGTAGACAGAATATAGTTGGATTCTTTTTTCATTTTTAATACATTCTGCCAGTTTATGTCTTTAGACTGGGGAGTTTAGTGCACATCCATTTAAAGTTATTGCCGATAAGGTAGAACTTACTATTGCTATATTGTTAATTGTTTTCTTGATGTCATAGCTTTTGGTTCCTCATTTCCTTCCTTACTGCCTTTCTTTGTCTTTAGTTAATTTTTTTGTAATATGCCTTCAGTCCCTTCTCATTTCCTTTTGTATATATACTGTAGATAATTTCTGTGCTTATTATGAGGAGTACATATAACATCCTAAAGTTATAACAATCTATTTTAAACTAGTAACAACTTTATTTGCATACAGAAATCCTAATTTTTTTCCAGCTCCCTCTTACCTACCCATGTTGTTTTATTGATATCACAAATTAGATATTTATGTATTGTGTACTCATTAACATAGACTTATAATTATTTTTTATGCTTTTGTCTTTTAAATACTGTGAAAGAGTAAAAAATGGAGTTTCAAATCAAAATTATAATAATACTTGTTTTTATATTTGTCCACGTATTTTATCAAAGAACTTTATGTTTTTGTATTCAGGCTACTCTGTAACATCCTTTTATTTCAAATTGGACTCCTTTTAGGCTTTTTTTTTTAATTAAAAAATGTTTTAATGTTTTATTTTTGAGAGAGAGAGAGAGACAGAGTACGAGCAGGGGAGGGGAAAAGTGAGAGGGAGACACAGAATCTGAAGTAGGCTCCAGGCTCTGAGCTGTCAGCACAGAGCCTGACTCAGGGCTCAAACTCATGGACCGTGACATCATGACCTGAGCCAAAATTGTTTGCTTAACCAATTGAGCCACCCAGGTGTCCCCTTTTAGTATTTCTTATAGACAAAGTTTAACCATAATGAACTCCCTCAATTTTTGTTTATCTGAGAAAGACCTAATTTCTCCCTCATTTTTGAAGGACAGTTTTGCCAAATAGAGAATTTCTTCTTTTTTTAAATTAATTAATTATTTTTAAATTTACATTCAAGTTAGTTAGCAAATAGTGCATAGATTTCAGGAGTAGATTCCTTAATGCCCCTTACACATTTAGCCCATCCCCCCTCCCACAGCCCCTCCAGCAATTTTTTGTTTGTCTCTATATTTAAGAATCTCTTATGTTTTGCCCCCTCCCTGTTTTTATATTGTTTTTGCTTCCCTTCCTTTTGTTCATCTGTTTTGAATCTTAAATCATCATATGAGTGAAGTCATATGATATTTGTCTTTCTATGACTGGCTAATTTCACTTAGCATAATACTCTCTAGTTCTATCCATGTAATTGCAAATGACAAGATTTCATTCTTTTTGATTGCCAAGTAATACTCCATTGTGTGTGCGTGTGTGTATATATATATATATATACCACATCTTCTTTATCCATTCATCCATCAATGGACATTTGGGCTCTTTCCATACTTTGGCTATTGTTCATAGCACTACTGTAAACATTGGGGTGCATGTGCCCTTTCAAAACACCTATATCCCTTGGATAAATACCTAGTAGTGCAATGACTGGGTTGTAATGTAGTTCTATTTTTAATTTTTTGAGGAACCTCCAGACTGTCTTCCAGAGTGGCTGCACCAGTTTGGATTCCCACCAGCCGTGCGAAAGAGATCCTCTTTCTCCACATCCTCACCAACATCTGTTGTTGCCTGAGTTGTTAATGTTAGCCCTTCTGACAGGTGTGAGGTGGTATCTCATTGTGGTTTTGATTTGTATTTCCCTGATGATGAGTGATGTTGAGCATTTTTTCATGTGTCTGCTGGCCATCTGGATGTCTTCTTTGGAAAAGTGTCTATTCATGTCTTTTGCCCATTTCTTCACTGGATTATTTGTTTTTTGGGTGTTGAGTTTGAGAAGTTCTTTATAGATTTTGGATACTAACCCTTTATCTGATATGTCATTTGCAAATATCTTCTCCCATTCTGTCAGTTGCCTTTTAGTTTTGCTGGTTGTTTCCTTCACTGTGCAGAAGCTTTTTATTTTGATGAGTTCCCAATAGTTCATTTTTGTTTTTGTTTCCCTTGCCTCTGGAGACATGTTGAGTAAGAAGTTGCTGCGACTGAGGTCAAAAAGGTTTTTGCCTGCTTTCTCCTTGAGGATTTTGATGGCTTCCTGTCTTATGTTTGGGTCTTTTATCCATTTTGAGTTTAGTTTTGTGTATGGTGTACAAAAGTGGTCCAGGTTAATTTTTCTGCATGTCACTGTCCAGTTTTCCCAGCAACATTTGCTGAAGAGATTGTCTTTTTTCCCTTGGATATACTTTCCTGCTTTGTCAAAGATTAGTTGCCCCTATGTTTGTGGGTCCATTTTTAGGTTTTCTATTGCATTCAATTGATCTGGGTGTCTGTTTTAGTGCCAGTACCATACTGTCTTGATGATTACAGATTTGTAATACATTTTGAAGTCTGGGATTGTGATACCTCCAGTTTTGATTTTCTTTTTCAGGATTGCTTTGGCTATTTGGGGTCTTTCCTGGTTCCATACAAATTTTAGGATTTTTGTCCTAGCTCCCTGAAGAATGCTGGTGTTATTTTCATGCGGATTGCCAAATATAGAAGTCGTTGATTGACACCTTTTTACCCATCACGTCAAATATGTAATCCCACTTATTTGGTGGGTCTTCTGGCCTGCCACTGATAATCTTATTGAGGATTCCTTATGCATGATGAGTCACTTTTTTTTTTTTTTTTTTTGCTGCTTTCAGGATTCTGTCTTTGGCTTTTTCGTTTGATTATGTGTCTCTGTATGGATCTCTCTGGGTTTTCTTGGAATTGTTTGAGCCTCTTGTATTTGTACATCCATGTAATGAATGAATGAACGAATGAATGAATGAACACTACTATATAAATTTGTATTTAATACAAATAAGGTTTTGCTTTTTTTCAGCCATTGTTTCTTCAAATAAGCTGATGGCTCCTTTTGTCTCTTCTTCTAGGACTCCCATAATGTGTATGTTGCTCTGCTTGTTTGTATACTATGTGCTTTGGGCTCTGTTTACTTTTCTTTATTGTTTTTTTTTTCTCTTTGCTTCTCTGACTCCATAATTTAAAATGACTTGTGTTCAAGTTTACTGACTCTTTCTTCTTCCTGCTTGGATCTGCTGTTGAATCCTTCTCATAAAGTTTTCAATTCAGTTATTGTATTTTTCAGATCCACAGTTTCTGTTTGGTTCTCTTTTATAATTTCTATCTCTGTTGGTATTCTCATTGTGTTCATATATTGCTTTTCTGATTTGCTTTGGTTCTTTGTCTGTTTTCCTTCAGCACTTTCAGGATAGTTAAGATGATCATTTTAAAGTGTCTGTCTAATAACTGAAACCTGTGTCCCTTTAGGGTAAGTTTCTGAAAATTTGTTTTGTTCCTTTGAATGGGCAACATGGCCTTGTGATCTGTTGTTGAAAACTGGACATTTGAAAAAAGTAGCCACCTCTGTCTGTCTTTGCAGCCTAACTTCATGCAGAGAAAGCCCTCCAGTAATCTGACCAGTATGAAAACTTAAGGTCTTCTTAGATCTTCAGGTCTTGGGCATGTGTCTTTCCTAGGCCTGTGCATGTGTGTTTTTTTCTCAAATTTCCCAGACATGATACTGCTTTTATATGTTTTAATTGCATTAAAAGTCTCATATCTGATTCTTCTTGGGGCTCAAATGTTTTATTGTCCTCCTCTGCCTGTAGTCTCCCTCCGAGGTGGCCACAGTTCTACAGTTTCCACTCAGTGTGGCATTTGCCACTGCTTTCACCCACCTCCAGTCCGATATTCAAACTATGTCACAATTCCTATCTGAGCTCTGATTCAGATGAGGCAGAAACCAGTCTCTCAGGCAACCTCCACACAGGGCAGAATACTGAAACAAATTCCAAGGCAGGGGCTGCAAATTGGGTGCCTTCCTCCTGACCATACTGTACAACACAAGAGAGGGGATGGGACAAGGGTAAGCAGCAGAAAACAACCTAGAATTTCTTACCATTTAGAGTAGGGATTTTTTATTGTTTGGGCATTAATTTGCTGCAGATCCTTGACTATTTCTAGAGTTTCTACACAGCTATTGTAGTCTGTTGTTTATTTGACGTTTCTGTGAGGAAACAAGGGCTACCTTGGAGCTCCCAGGTCTGCCTTCTTGCTTATTTCACCTCCAGAGGTATGTTAATTTTAAAAATAAATTCCCCCAAATATTCAGGAATTAAATTAGTCTCTTCTTTTGTTGTAATAATGGTAATAATGATAGTAATTTATTTTAATGTTTGTTTTTGAGAGAGAGAGAGAGAGAGAGAGAGTACATGTTGGGGAGGAGCAGAGAGAGAGGGAGACAGAGCATCTGAAGCAGCCAGTTGTGCGCTGATAGCAGTGAGCCTAATACCAGGTTCCAACTGATGAACCATGAGATCATGACCTGAGCCGAAGTTGGGCGCTCAACTGACTGAGCCACCCAAGTGCCCCAATAATGATAATAATTTCATTGAGTACCTACTAGGTTCCCAGGCACTATCATATACATTTCACCTCTTTAAATAACTAATTTAAACTTTACTACTTTGTAGGTAGTATTGTACCCATTTCATAGATGATAAAACTGAAGCACAGAGGAAACATACCATCTATGTGGAACTAAGACAGACACATGGGGAATGCAATTTTAAGGTTTTAATAGGTAACATGGAACTATTCCTGGTTTTATGTGACTTGAGAGGAGGTAGTTACAGTAGACCAGAAGAAGTTGGTTGGATCATACCCTACCCACTTCCCTTCATTCTATAAATGCTTTAAAACTGGATCTCAGTTCTTGAGCTACATTTTCATGTAGCTAAGGTAGTGGGCTGGCCAAATAAGTGCCCTTTTCCTTTAACATTGGAAATAACACATGATGTATAATCTTGACCAGGAGGGCAAGAGAGGTCCAAAACCAGCCCTGTGGTGGGTGAATAATCAAGGTGATGAAGTGAAGTGGAGTTTCAGAGAGATGACAGACTTATCCCGCCGTGCAGCCAACGTCTTCACCCAGACCTGCGGCCTGCAGCAGGGAGACCGTCTAGCCTTGATCCTGCCTCGAGTGCCCGAGTGGTGGCTGGTGGTCATAGGCTGCATCCGAGCAGGTCAGTGACCCAAAGAGACCCCAACAGACTTTAGGTCTAGCCTGGAGCCAATGGGTCCTGAAATATTAACTTTTCCCTGCCCTTTTTTCTTATTCTTCATAGTCTTTTTCTTTCTCAGACTCCTTCAAATATTCGTTTGCTACTTCTCACTGTCTTCCTCAACTTATACACCCTCAAACACATGTCATCACTCTCTAATTCATACACAGACACAGACACATAAACACACACACACACACACACACACACACACACACTTTCTCTTGCACAGTTTCATTTTTTTTTAAAAAAACATCAATTGTTAACATTTTGCTCCCCTCCCACGCTGAGACATTTAAGTATCAGTTGCAGACATTGTGGCATCCATAAACACCAGATAAACACCCGTAAACCCTGGAGCATGCATCTGCTATGATCCATGACATTCTCCTCACATAACCACAACAGAGTTATCACACAAGAAGTATAACTTTGATAAAATATATATCCGTGGCCAGAATTCTTTAATTGTCCCAACAGTGTATTTTACACCCATTTTTTGTTTGTTTAAATCCAAAATCTGATAGAAGGTCATGCAATGCATTACATTGTAAGGTCTCCTCAATCTCCGTTAATCTAAACTTTTCTGCATGACAACATCTTGGAAATGTCTAAGCTAGTTGTTTTTCAGAAGGTCCCACAAAATTTGTATTTCTGACTCTTTTTTCAAGATTATATTCAGATAAACATTTTTAGTAAGAGTACTAAAAAGACAACATGCTTATCTCAATGCTTTACATCAGGATACATGAAGTCGGTTTGTCCTATCATCGATGATATTATTTACAAACACTTTTGTAAGGCACAATTTCCCTTTGTAATTATTAAGTAATCTGTACTGTAATACTTTTGAGACTGTGTGAATATCCTGTTCCCCAACTGTCTTTCACCCTGTTACATGAGAATCCATTGATGATTCTTGATTGAATTGAATATTATTATGGTGGTTTTATATGAGAATTTTCTAATTGTGTTATTCCCTCCACATTTATTCTGTGGAGATTTCCCTTCCCCCTTTTAATTGCATATTTATGTATCTATATAATGTAGAATTGGTGTGGGACTCCAGAATTTTTTTTTAATTGCTTTAAAATGCATGGTCATATATTTCCTCACAAATAAAATCCTACATTAATCCATAAAGGTCATGTGGAATCAAGAATTAACAGCAACAGCAGAGAGAGTACAGAGAAGCCATGTCATCTGTAGAGCTGAGAGATGGCACATGGGAAATCCAAGACAAGAGCTGAGTGCTCTGGGATAGAATAAAAGAAGAATAGAAGCAAAGGAAGGAGAGTCCAAGAATGGGCATAAGACATGCAAAAACTTAGAGTCAGGAGAAGTCTGTGTGAAAAATAGGCATCTTGAAATAGGGAATAGATTTGTAAGAGGAAAAGGTGGAGGGTGGGCAGTGCCTTCACTGTTGGGTGTTCAGAGTATGGTGCTTTCCTGGAGAGAGGGCACAGGTGCTGGTGAAGAGAAGAAAAGCAGAGGGGGAAGTCAGTGTTCTGTGGAACCTGAACAGGTAATAAAATGGAAGGTAGGTAGTAGCAAGATTCAGGATGAGCCATCTGGTGGAGAGATTAGAACCCAGTAGAGGCACACAAAGACCTGAACTAACTGTTGGTGATGGAAGATGGAAGGGAGTGTAGGAAAGTTAAAAGGATAATGTAGTTAAATTTGGGTATGAGGAATGAAGAAAAGAGAGGAGATTCAAGATGACACAAGGGACTGAAAGAGGAGGAGGAAATGAGAGGAGAAAAATGGAGGCAGGGATACAGCTAAACCTGGTGTCAAAGACACTGTACTACTTGCGTCCATAGTCTGTAGTCCCAGTCCTAAAGTAGGATTCACCTGTCTACTGGCTTGATCCACCTAGAGTAGAAGAAGGTTAGGTCAGGCTTTTCAAATTTCAAGATACATAGGAATCCCTTGGAGAGTTTCTTAAAGTGCAAATTCTGATTCAGTAGTTTGGGATGGGGCATGAGATTTTTGTGGTGCTGATGGTACTGGTCCATGGACCATACTTTGCACAGCAAGAAGCTAGCAGATTTCTATGCAGATAAGCCAGGCCTGAAACCCAAAAGTTCCTTTTTTCATCCCCAGGAATAATCTTCATGCCAGGAACCACCCAGATGAAAGCCAAGGACATTCTCTACCGATTACAAGTGTCTAAAGCCCAGGGCGTCATGACCACAGATACCCTTGCCCCAGAGGTGGATTCCCTAGTTTCTGAGTGTCCTGCTCTGAAAACAAAGCTCCTGGTGTCTGACCATAGCCGTCATGGGTGGCTGGACTTCCGATCGCTGATTAAGTAAGTTTCAGATCTGATGAATGTGTTTTCTAAGGAAGGACAAGAGAAGACCATTCACTCCCAAGTGCTGGTAGACAAACATTCAGTGGGAGAAGGTCACCTGGACTGATGCCAGGAGACTTCTCTTCCCAGCTGTGCCCCCGATTTGTTTTGTGACCCTGGGCTGGTTCCTTCCCCTCTCTTGGATGCAATTGCTTTATTTGTAAAATAAGAGTATTGAACTTCTATGCCTCTGTCACTACAGTCTAAACACTTTAGTGCAAATGAGATGAGTCAGAGGGTTATTGTGTTGAATCTTCCTTGTAGGTAGGGAATCTGAAATATTATTTTTATATAACAAACAAATATATGAAGAGGTTGAATGAATGTATAAGATGAATTTTTAAGGGAAACTTGAGACTGCAAGAAAAATTGAGGCTGTGGCTGGTAGTCAGCTGGGGGAACAAACAATTTCCATCTCTCAGGTGCTGCATAGCTTTAAGGACACCTCCCAGGGAAAGTTAGGGAAGTGTTGGAAGTAAGAAAGACCCCTTCCACCAACAACTCTGATTCTGTAAACCTTTAGACATTTTTTCTATCACCTGAAAACCATGCTGTGTTTGTTTTCTTAAAGTAACCCCTCAGTTTTTAAAGTTCTTTACTTCAGCCTCAAAAAGCAAATATTAGGCTGAAGTCACATCTTACACTGGATTTTAAAGTCAGAGAACTAAAAGAAAATGGCTTAAATAAAGAATATTCTTGGGGTGCCTGGGTGACCCAGACAGTTGAGCATCTAACCTGATATCAGCTCAGGTCATGATCCCAGGATTGTGGTACTGAGCCCCGCAATGGGCTCTGTGCTGAATGTGAAGCCTACTTAAGATTCTCTGTTTCTCTGTCTCTCTCTCTCTTTAAAATAAAAAGATTTAAAAAAGGATATTCTTTAGATTCCCTTAAATTGCCAAAAGTCAATATGGTACCATTTCTCAGCAAGAGTTGGTGTTACTGGCAGCCTTGGGATCATTTGCAGTTACTATGATTGAACACCATAGGGAATTGGCATTTATAAGCATAGAGCCAAAGGAGAAACTGTCAATTCTGAAGCCCCCAAGAATCAAGGCACACCGGGGGGACTCCAGGCTTTCCTACCATCTCAAGTTTACACCAAGACAGATGTGCATTTATGTTTCTTTTACTCTCCCTCATTTTCTTCTCCCTGCCCCTCATAGCCAAGATTATGGGGTTAAATTCCTATAAAGCTACTTCATATATAAAAAAAAAAAAAAAAAAAAAAAAAAAAACAAAACAAAAACAAAAACAAGCTTAGCAGTGTGGTTAAGAGCACAGTCTGTGGATCAGACTGAATTTGAATCCTGGCTGTACCACATGCTGGCCAAATGTCTTCAGGCAAGTAATGTAACCTTTCTGAGCCTCAGTTTCCTCCTCCACAAAATGGGCACAATAAAAGCAGTACTTCTCTTTTAGGGTTGCTCTGAAGATTGAATGAGTTCTTATTTGTAAGTCACTTAGAGCAGTGCCTGAAAGATATCAAGTGCTATTTCAATGTTTGTTACGTTAAAAATATTCCACTATATTTCCCCCCTTTTGTAAATGAATAAATGTCAGTCTACTTATCCAAGTCACTCACAAATTCCGTTTGATTCTTAATACAAGGAGAACTGGTTTTTCCTCCAGTGTTGTAAACCTTCATTTTTCTGACTCCAAGCCCCTCATATTGGATCCCCAGGGATCCCAAATCAGGAAACATGACTTCTCCCCTTTTGTACTGAATCCCTTTGCAGATCAGCATCCCCAGATCACACCTGTATTAAGTCAAAGACGCTGGACCCAATGGCCATCTTCTTCACCAGTGGGACAACAGGCCTTCCCAAGATGGCGAAACACAGTCATGGACTTGCCTTGCGATCCTCTCTGCCTTCATGGTAGGAAAGAAGGCATTGACTTAGATGCTGGGCCACAGATCTGGGGTGGTGTGTGTATGTGTGCATGTGTGTGTGTGAGCACACATGTGTTGGGAAAAGAGCTCTAAGTAGAATTGACTCCATCCTGTTTCTTCCCTCTGGGCTCTTTGGTTCAGACTCCTGAGAGTGTTGAGATGTAGACACTTGGAATGCTAACGGTTTTCTGACAGAGGCCTCTGATGACAAAGGAGGCACATTTAGGTCCTGCCTGAGCACCTTAACAAGAGGTGTGTAGGAAATGTGTGCCCGCATTCAGCAAACCACACAAATGACAAGCCATTGTGTCCCTCTCAATTGACTCAGGGTTTGGTGGTAAAAGACACAATGTGTGAACAATGCCACCTGAAGTGGCAGGTCCTTTCCTCTTCCCAGTTATGAACACATGAAACTTGGAGTTACCCAGTCGTGAGCTCTCAGGAAAAAGAATACCTGGAACCAAGCCACAACATGCCACTCCCCCTAACCTAGAACAAACAGTCATAGAGGCTGAAGCTGTAGCCTTGGGTTAATCACTTAATCAACGTTTAACTGAGCCTCTTCTCCGATCTGTCCCTACCTCACATAGTAATATTCACACCAGATCAAGTTCTATATATTTTATAACTTATTAACCAGACCAGAGGGCAGACAAGGCTTTTTGTGGACAGTGACTATCTGTGCAGATGCAGCAGTTTGCAATGGTAGCAATTGAGTAGCGAAACTCTGGAGGAATAGGGGTGGAAAGAAGGCAGAGGCTTTCTGTGCAGTCTGAATAACAAGAGCACAGGCACAAAGATATTAAAAGTAGCATTATAGAACTACAGACACTTGAGGATAGCTGGTGCTCAGGGTGTGGGGTAAGAGACATATGGGAGGAATTGGGAACCAGTGAGCAGGGCTCAGGATCTTGTGGGCCTTGGTGTAGAGTTTAGAGTTTTTTAGGCAGATGATGGAGAGGTATTGGAGTAATGGGATGTATTTTAGCAAGGGAAAGACCTGATCACATTTGTGTTTTGAAAAGATCACTGTGGCTGCAAGATGAAGGGAAGCAGAAGGGGTTAGGATCTGCTGGGTTTGAGGTGCCTGAGGGACACTGCAGAAGAGATGTTCAGTGGGTAGTTGGGTCTGAAACTGAGAAGACAGGTCTTCCCAGCTAGTAGTATTCTGTGGGTGAGCCACAATCCTAAGAGGGCTGGGATGAGGGAGGGTGGATTGTTTATTAAAGTTAATAGTAAATAGTTAGTAAAGCTCCTGTTAATAGTAAAGCTCCTCAAAGCCATAGTTTAGTAAATAGTAAACTATTACTAATAATAAATAGTAAAGCTCCCATAGCTATGGGAGGATTGTGTTTTCTCAAGGAATTATGCACACAGACATCCCTCAGAATCACTAAGATAGGATAGAGAAATGAGAAACCTTTCCCACCCCGCTTTCTAATTATTGCCTATTGGATAATTGTTTCCAGTCCTTGCCAAGATGGGGTATTAATTAGGGTCTTTCTCTCTCTTTCTTTATTTCTATCTCTCTCTCCCTCTCTCTCTTTCTCCATCATAAATGACAGAAAGCCCAATCTCAACCTCTTTAAGCCTAAAAGTGAATAAAGGAATTTATTGGATCATGAGGCAGGGTACTCCAGGGTTTGGCTTCAGACATAGCTAGAGTCTCTGGATCAGGTTTTTATCTCTCCATCTGATGTGTTTTGTTGCTCTTCTAAGAAAGGCTTATCCCTTGTTATGCCCAAATTGCTGCCAGCATTACCTAGGACTATATAAGTAACAGAGTCAATTCCCAGCCTTGAGGATCATTATAACTAAACCCATTGAAATCACACATGACCAGAAAATAGGATTTGGCATGCTTTAGGGACCTGGGGTGGGAGTGTGTCTGGAGCCCACTCAAACCACATGCACTGAGAATGAAAGGTGGGTCACCCCTGAAAATCAGAGTCCCCAGCCCTTGATCACATTCTCATGATCACCTAGCTGAAGTCACTGTATTTTGGAGTTAGCAGGAAATTTCTACAACTGAAGACATCTGATGTCTTGTGGTGCATTTCGGACCCAGGCTGGATTCTGGCTGTCTTGGGGTGCCTGTTTGAACCATGGACATCAGGGTCTACACTCTTCATCCATCATCTGCCCCAGTTTGACCCCAAGGTCATTCAACAGGTAAGAAGACAAACCTTCCACTATCAACAAACTCCTAGAAGAAACTCATGTTTCAAACTCAAAAGCTGGCCTGCTGAGAAATATTTTATTTAGCAAAAAGTCTCATTAGCGTAATATAACCCTGGTTCTGGGTTTCTCAAAGTGCAGAACACTGAATTAGTTACTGTATAAGAATAACACTACATGAAACCTTGAAGAAAATACATATTCCAAGCCCTTCCCCAGGCCTATGGATCAGATTTTGTGGGCTTGGAACCCTGAATAAACATTTTAAGAGATTAAACCAACCAGAGAAAGCTCATGTCTCCTGGATCCTGGACCCTGTATCTGCCAGACCAGATAGCTGGTGCGTGTGTGTGTGTGTGTGTGTGTGTGTGTGTGTG